ATAAATATTATAGAGATAATATTCTAAAGTAAACATTTGGCAAATATTTCAAATGTCTGCTAAATATTTACAAAGTGTACGATATTCGTTAAATATATAGAAAATATAGGACAATATATTCTGTGCTACTAGGGAACTATCGGGGAAACTTACGGGAATGTAAATGTAACCATCGTCGCATGGCGAGACGTGCTTCGTGCTCTTGATCGGGTACTTTGAGAAATTGATTACGATCTGCAAAAGATTACGCCATTGATAATTAGTTTTGCGTACAGACGTTATCAAGAAATGGATGACGTCCACTATTTAGACTATGATTGCCTGAAAATTCACTTTCATTGCACGGTTACCTACACGATCCCAATTTTACATCGTCATACTCTAGCGACTGGATTAACAAGTCATTGAGACTAAAACGTTCCCCTAATCCGCAAATGACATCCTCCTCGACACTTGCACGCGATTAACCGAAGTGAGCCCGTCTAAAATTCGCACTGCAGTTTGAAATTACGTAAAAACTCACTTTGGTGACGTTGGCGCACCTGCACCACGTGACTGCGGCGAGGCAGCCGTAAATCAGAACGGACAGGACCAAGCACTTGCAATTCGCCTCTTTCTGCAGAGCACCGCACAGAGTTTGTGACACGGGTCGTTGCTAAAACGATGAACAATCCACCATAAGGCACCGTAAAAACCCTCAAGACTGCTGCCCCTCCAAAAGAGCGGCATCCAAGTGAAAAAGCTGAAAAAGCTCACCTCCTCATTTTCCCGATTCATCTTCAGCCGCGGTACCGCAAGAACGATCTTCAAGGTCTATCAAGTCCCAAATCCGGTAATCATCTTCACCCGTGCGTTGGTTCACCCTCCGTAAGCTGGGGAAAGAAGCTCCCTTTAAATGCAAACTCTCGAAAAGTCCCGCGAAAATGCAAAGCGAGTTCCCCTCTCCCCGCTTATCGAGTCGCCGCTCCCCGTGTGCGAAGGGGTTTATCATACCGTGAGGAGCGGCTCTCGATTTCCCATATTACATACAAGAAGCCGGTAAACGCCTCCGTTTATCTACCGAGCACTTGGTTATTTCCTACAGGTAGAGCGAGGCCCAGGGGGCGTGCTGGAGCGCGCGGAGCAAACCCCACGGGCTATCAGAAAGGTAAACATTGACGATAACGCGTCTACGAAGCCGCCAGGTGCGACCCGAGGGGGTGCTCGAGATAGATATCGATCGCCGAATGGAGGCGCCGTCGACGAGATCGATGGAAATCGAGATGCCGATTGAGGGAATTCGACGGTATTTCGGGATACTTTCTAGGGTTGGAAGTTTACTCTTGTACCTGGGGCCGCCTGCGACTCGGCCATCTCTTCTTTGCCGATTTTTAGGACGAGTCGGTGTCTCGGATCTCGGAGCCCACCTGCCGTGCTTTCGGCCCCACAGGAAGGGTGGATCCACCCCCGAGGAACGTTCAGGGGTAACTGGCGTCGCCAGTACGGCGCCCTCCGGCCGTACTACCCGAACGAATCCACTCGCCTCTTCCTACCCCCAGTGGAAATAGAGAACTACTAGTCAGACGGCGAACATCGCTCGATGCCTCCTCCGATGGTACAGGGTGCACCATTCGGAATCAATCCCCAGAGTGCATGCGAATCTACCTTAGGCGGTCAATTAAAAAATTCGGTGTCTTCGCACCGCGTGAATATGTTTATTAAATACGCGCGATGGTACANTATAAATATTATAGGGATAATATTCTAAAGTAAAGGTTTGGCAAATATTTCAAATGTCTGCTAAATATTTACAAAGTGTACGATATTCGTTAAACATATAGAAAATATAGGACGAATATTTTGTGCCCGTAGGGATAGTGGCGTTTAGTAGCTGAAAGGTTAAATGAGAAATTGTTTAGGGACTTTCCCACGTCTGGATGCGGAGATTTAGTGGATATCAATCGAATCCTTTTCTTAGGCCTGGAAGGGACATCGGCGCCCAGGAAAATGGCGGACGGCTCAAGCGAGTCGTTAGTTCGGTACCAAATTTACGACTAGCGATTCCTACGTAAAAGCCCTCTCCCGTAACGTCACTTTCATGCTGCCTTAGCTATCGTTAATTTACATGCAACTTTCATTTTAAGCAGGCGCGTGCACGCTCTCTAACGTCCCTCGTCCATATTAAATTTGTCCGTTTTGCCTACAGTTTCTACACTTTTACGAAAAGTCTACACTTTGGCGCTCGTTTCGACGGAAATGACGCAGATGTCGTTGTTTGTTTTGCTAGGGCATCTACCCCGAGTGTACACTTTCTCTACACTTTCCACCCTCGATCCCGAGCGAGTGCAAGAAGCATAGGCCGCGAATTTGGCGGCAAATTTAAAAATTCAAAAGACCAGCAAACAGGAAAATTCAAAATTTGTGCGTCGACGAAAGTGTCTGCACCTTTCAAGAAAAGTGTAGTGCCCTCGTTACTATTGAGTAGAAAGTGTAGACAACGCAAACAAACCTATTGTATCAGTCCAGGCAAGGAATGTAAATCCGAAGCCGATCGAGCGTCCAAACGAACCGATAGAAAATAAGACCCAGTAAAACGGGGAAACGTATTCAGCGCAGACTGGACTGTCGATGCAAAAACTATAAAACCCGGTTGAACATCTACACTCAATACGTTTTCCGAGCAGTGCACTTATCCCCTTCGGCTTAAAAGTAGAAAGACCTGAGCAGGAAAGACGCCGTAACGTCTATACCCGGATAACAAATTTCATTACTATCTCTCGAGCGAGTCAAACGAAACCTCTAATCCCATCGGCAAAGGTACTGCGCTCGATTAATTCGTTAATCCCCTAATTTTACGCAGGCAATGTAAACGTTAAATCAGGCAAGGCCTCGCGAATCGTGGCCACATCCGCGATTTCTACCCTGGCGGCCATGAATGTCATTTCATCCTATACTTGGGTAAATGTATGCTTGGAGAAGGCATTCATATCCACCACTGTACGCTTGTGGGCATGAATATTTTCCCCATGAAGTAGGGTAAGAAGACATAACGCCTATGGCTGGTTTCATAGAAAGGGGCTCCAGGATTTCAGATTTTCCCTAATCCAACGATGCGAGCGCTACTTGCGGAAAATAAGGGAACTTCAATCTACGTCACTGAAACATTTCCTACCGATGTAAATGACCTAAAATGCTTTTAACTTTGCAATTAAGGTGCGCAAAGCAATACTATAATCCGCATATGACATACAGAATGTAATGTTTTTAATGCGATAAAGACTAGCGAACCTGCTAGTGGAAGATAACTTTCAATTACAAAATTTCATCGAGGAGGCGCTCTCGGCCCTAGATCAGAAAAAAATCTGAAGATCTTGGACCCCTAAAGTGGGGACGATTTCAATACACAGCGTCGTATCTCTTTGTATTAGGGGTAGCCATAAATAATCCATTTTTTGACGTCCAAAACACTACTTTCAAAATAATTGATTCCCTATGGGTACTCCTAATACTACTTCGTGATTTTCCCATTATACGCTAACGGGTCTACATCCACAGGAAACGCATTCATGCTCGCCAGTGTACCTGGAGAAATGTATTCTCTAAATTTAACGCGCAATCCACATAATTGACGGATGACTCTCAGGGTGGCCTCGGCACACCCTGGCTGTCGGTCAAACGAAAACCCCGTCCGTGTCAACGTAATTGAACAGAATGTAAATCGCACCGAGGTAGAAAACTTTGGTCACGTCGTCGAAAAAAGCGATTCTAACGGGCCCTGCTCGTTATAAGGAGGTCTCCATGTTGAGGTTGGTTCGCCTCCCGGTGCCGGTCCCGCAGGCGAACTCGACCCTCTCGGTGAAGCTCCTACGCAGGTGCCTGTCGGCCCTCCTCGACTTGGAGGTGGACCTCCTCTCGGTGAGGGACCTCCTCAACTTGGAGAGCCTCTCCCTGGAGGGATCCGAACGAGGATCCGCCGAATGCTCGGCCAGGTCGCTGGCGTGCACGAACACCCGAGTTTGGTCCTGCGTGGAGGCGTTATGATCGACCGGGAGCCGATTATTGCTCGGTACGAGGATCCTGGCATCCCTGGAGGACACCCTGCCCTCGTACTGCGGAAAGGAAACGACGTTCCTGTAGTGATTCGCCGTATCAGCCAGTCGGTACCGACCAGGGAACAAGTCCTCCGGCTCCACGCTGAGAGTACGCTGGTGTTTCCTGCAGTTCCCGGATCTTTCGAGGACCTCCCTCTCGGTGAAGGACCTTCTCAGCCGGGATAAAGCAGGGAAGTTCAGGGCCTCCTCGTAGTCCGGAGGGTTCTCGCTGGGCACCAGGTTCTTCCCTCCAAAGGGATCCTCGGGACAGACCTCCTGGATCGGGCTCGCGAAGATCAGGGTCCTGGAAAAATAGTACATTTATACAAAGCTTCCTGGTGGGTGGAGGTCAAGGATCCTCGGAGAAGAGTCTACCTGGAGTTCTCGCGCTTCTGGTCCATCGCCCTGTGGTCTCTGCGGTACACCCCGTTCTCTCGGAGGAGTTGTTTCCTCCTGGGGGCGGAAAGACTGTCCAGGCTCTCCCTGGAGCTCCAGTTAAGCCGGAATTTGTCTCCGTTGACTATACCGCAGCAGTCCCTGCTGCACCCTGGACCCAGGGACTGCCCAGGGCCGAAGGTTGGCAAGGGCTTCTTCAAGGCGAAGCCGCACCTGTCGTGCTCCTCGGCCGCGAGGCTCTGGAGCTCGTCTGCCGTGACCAGGGTGTACCTCCTCTTGTTCTGCTTCAAGATGGACTTGAGGCAGAAGTAGGTCCTGGAGCTGGGGATCTTCTTTCCCACGTCGGACATGGGGTTCACGGTGACTCTCTTGCTGATCTCCACCCGTTTCGGGATGGCTCCTCGACTCTGGCTCCAGTTTAAGGAAGGAACGGACTTCGAGTCCAGCAAAGCCTCGTCCTCCAGGACCAGGGCCTCGGCTCTCTCCTGGTTCGCCCTGAGCCCCTCTGGGTTCGTCCTGAGCCCCTCCGCGTCGGCTTCCTCCTTCTCCAAAATGTTCTCCAAGCTGCGCCCGTTCGCCATGAGGAACTGCGTGCTGGCGGTCATCAGCTCCGAGCTCGACCTCAGATTCGGCTCCGAAATCTCCCTAGGTATGCTCTTCCTCTCTGGCCTTCTATCTTGCAGACCTTCCAAAGAGCTCTGTCGGACGTGGCCCACGGGTCTGGAGCTCGCCTCTGGACCGAATGCCAATTGTCTCGCTGACTCTTTACAATTGGTACAGTCATTTGATCTGCTGGGCCGAGTTGCGAGGCGATCGGAGGAAGTCGGCTCCTCCTCGGTCGTGTCCACATTGTAGACCACGGACTGAGGAGCTCGTTCCATCTCGTCGGCACTTTCCTCCAGCCTCTCTCGAGGGTCTGCCGAGGACCTCTCGTCGCTGAGCTCCGCGTTGTCCGGCAAACTCCTATAAGACCTACAACTTTCCGAGTCCATCCCGTGACAGGGGCAGCCGCAGTTTATCGTTGGAGCTTCCTCGGTCTCTGGGTTCTCGACGACGATCTCGCAGGGAGTCATCTCTTGGGCCCTCTCATAGAGCAGTGCCTCGGAATAACTCGGTACCATTTCTGTCTCCTGATTTTGATCAGGACCCACCGATGGCTCCATCAAGAGAGCCTCGCTGTAGCTCGGCGCTAACATGTATGATCCTGGGGCACTCAGCTGACTGGAAGACGCGTGTATCGGCTCGCCATCAAGGGGGGTGTCGTAATTAACCCCGAAGATTTTGGTTATCTGCAATATAATTCAATATAACTTTCAATATAATTCAGAATAATTAAATGCGAAAACCATCCGCCCCCAAAATAATTATTTATATTCCCTGGCCTAGGTAATACTCAGGATTAAGACCTTTAACAAGGCTTAGGTGAAACTCGGAATTTCTTTCGATATTAATACATGTCTATTGAATTATTCCCCCCTATTGTCGCCTACATCGCGAGTTAAGGTGAAGTGAAACCCCTTTGACATCAGTCGATTCGAAGACAACACTTTTTTTAAGGGTATTAGACCATACTGTCCGAAACTTTGACATATCACTCCTGATCATCTAAGAATTGTCCTGACACAAACAACATTTTTAATTTTTTTTTTAATTTTTTAACAGCTCAGACCAGAGCCAAAATAGCGTCGAGCTCTCATATTTCGATCAATATACAATTATCGAAGGCTCCGATATGAGAATCGAAAGGGTCAGGACAATTTTACGACAATTTAAAACACTCTGGTAATCGATAAACTCGCATTTGAACGGGATAAAGGCAAAAAAAGTGTTGTATGCGCTTCTATGCTAAAAAGATGGTAATACGAGGTCTCGGAGTGAAAATTTAATTCACCTGGAAATCACAGATGGCGCAGGGGGTCCCTCTGCAGTGAATTAGGGCCCCAGAAAGCATGAATCCAGGAGATTTCTGGAGTTTTACTTCGATTTCTTTATAATTATTGTACGAAAACGACAGGTGGAGTATGCCATTTGGTACAATACCCAATATAATTCGACCCAGCTGTCAATATAAAAACGAACGTCGGCACCGTAGGCATTTAGAAAAATCTTTATCGACGTTGATCAAGTTCCTCGACGTGTTTCACTTCACCTTAAACCCTGAATATAGGAATAAGGTACCTGATAGTCCGCATACTGAGTGTTGCACTCTATTATAATCCTGAGAGGCCAGCTGAGCAAGAGTGCGCTCAAGCACCAGTACACGTAGCAATTGGTAAACCACGGATTCCCAAGGACCGCTACCAACGACGTAGTGTTGAAATTGTACCCCAGATCCAAGCCTTCCCTCATTTCCATGTAATCGTCCCTAAGTTCCTGGGGGAAAGAAAAAAATCCTATCATTAATAACAAGTGACGTTCGACCTTTAATTTTAAACTGGTGACAGTATTCGGTGATTTCCAACAATTTCCAGTGATTTCTACTTGCGATTTCCAGCTAATTTCTGCATGACTTCAAGCATTAAGGTGATGCGATAGTTGCATAGTGGAGGTTCCGTTTATGAAACTTCCCTCCGAACCGGGTTTATCGAATAGTCTCAAACTTTACAACATGAACATGGAGACTATAAGGAATGTCCTGACACCCATAAAATTTGAATTGAAAAAAGAAAATATGTTTATAGACATTTTCAAAGTTTGGGGTAGATAATGAAATTTCAAGAGTGTCGAGACTTTCCTTACAGCCTTTATGTTCACGTTGTAAAGTTTAAAACGATCCAGTTTGTAGAAAAGTTTCATGAACGATTGATCTCTCGAATGCCACTTTCAGATCCCTTTGGCTATTAAGAGCGCCTAAAGGCGCCCGACGTTTGGTCCAATATTGCCTGCACGGCCAGGCGAATTTCGCCCATATGTCGAAATGGCTCCGTGTTTAAAGGGTTAAGATTCATGATTTCCTGAGTGAACACCCCCTCGACCTCGAGCCTATTTACCTGTTCGGCGAAGAACCTCGACCTGGCCTCCTCGAACTCGGTGGCGGATCTCATGTTCGAGAAGGCGAACCCTTTCGTCAGGGTGATCTTCGTGATCGGGATCCTCGGGTCGATGATCAGGTCCTTGCTGATGTCCTTTACGCCGCAATAGTCGTAGAAATAGTGCGAAGTGGCCGCGTGCGTGTTCACCCTCTCGTAGTACACCTGATGTCGGCATTTCAAATACACCCCTTGGTTAAAATAACTCCACCGAAGTCATTCGATATTAACCCTTTCGGTGCTATAGACGTATATGTACGTTCAACATTTTCTTATAGAATGCTCTGTACACTTTCAAGAATTTCACCCACGTCCAGGACTTATCACCGAAAGGGTTAATCGATATCGAGTCTTAACGAAGTACCTGAGTGGTCGTGTAATTATCGCCATTCCTGTACCGAGTAATCTGACGTTTCCGGCGCACGTAATGATACGAAATCGCCTTCCACCATATAGTGGGTTGAGCAAGCCTCAATTGAGACAATTTCGTCAGGACGCTATCGGCGTGCAGCAGGTCGATTCTGATAGGCGAGTGATAACACTCCACCAGGTACACTAAATACAGCATGCCCATGAAAGCGACCTGCAATCGAAATGCTAACGCTTGGGTGGAATACTTTAATTGCCGGCAGAAATATTGTACAGAGATAAAAATTACATATGCCTATCCCCTCGCCATTTCACTATATCGAAACTTCCGGAGATAAATCAACCCTAGTAGCATAGAATAATTTCTAAACATTTCTTTGTAATCCTTGCTAAATATCTCAAGCGACAGATTCTTTAAGATTTCTTGTAGATTTCATTCGAAGATATTTGAAATATTTCTTGAAAATCTGAATGACATATTTAGTTTCAATAATTTATAAACATATAGAGTAATTATATTATTTAACTTACTAACATAATAAAAATACATTTCTTACTTCAC